CAGTTGGTTAAGCGACTGCCTTCAGCTCAGGTCATGGTCCTGGAGTCCCGGGATCGAGCCCCGCATCGGGCTCCCTGCTCAGCAGGGAGCCTGCTTCTCCCTCTGACCCTCCCCCCTCTCATGTACTCTCTCTCTTTCTCCCTCTCTCAAATAAGTAAATAAATAAATCTTTAAAAAAAAAAAAGTACAAGAGCATGGAGAGTTTCAAAGAAATTGATTTCTCAGCTCTCAACTTCCATATGTACAATTTTCTAGAACCATTCTGCTAATCCAGTATATCAGTTTTCATTTACCTCCTCTCCCCTTTCATCTCTACTCCCCCTACCATCTCACAGAGGAACCTGCAACACTCAACACTTCCCTATACTTACTGTGGAGCTGTTGTCTAACAACATCTAACGAGCCAAAATGAGAGTTCAAAATACCCATGGTGACAAAGTTAATGACTCTACAGACTGGGATATCCAATTTTTTTTCAAGTAAAGGGGTCACCAATTCTGACTTCCATGAATATAGAAGTTAAACCAAATCCAGTTGTTGCTTCACTAAGTAATAAAAATAATCTCGATTATCGATCACTTCATTGTCAACTTGGAAGAATGGGTGATATTGCTAAAATAAAGCCCTTTTTATTCATGAGATTTCTCAATATTTTCACTATTAAAATAAAAGAGGAAGAAAAGCAATGCAAAACACCATCTTCTCTAATAGTATTTATAAATAAACTATAATTATGAAATAATTTAAAATAGAATCCATTTCTAATAAAATTTTACTGTTTTATTTAATACTTTTTAAATTTTATAATTCATATGTTGTTTTGTCTACTGGCCATAACTGTATTGCTAACTGAAACCAAAATAAATTTGATACAGCCTTATGAACAAAGAAAATTCAATTTTAAATTTAAAATTTTAAGATTTTATTTATTTGAGAGAGAGAGAGATAGCATGAGCAGGGGGAGGGGCAAAGGGAGAGGAAGCAGAACTCCCTGATGCAGGACTCGATCCCAGGACCCTTATATCATGACCCGAGCCAAAGTCAGATGCTTAACTGACTGAGTCACCCAGGTACCCCAAACATAGGAAATTTTAAATGGTTTTAATTATAATTGTTTTTGCACAGAACTCAGAAGAACTGGGTGACAATTAATACAATGCATTTTTTATTCCCATTCACTAAATTCATGAATTTACTTTCATTGTTGAAAAGTATGATGTGTGATTGGTAAAATGCTTTCAAGTATAAAATATGTAGTGACAGAAAAAATAGGTGTTCAAGAGAAAAAAAAAGAATATAAAAATTCTGACTGTTAAAATTAAGATATTGTTCACATATTTTTTTAAGTAGATGATGGAAAATATCAAGTTGTTAAAAATTCCCTGGATGTATTTTAAATTGTGATTTAAGTAATACACCAAAAATTATATCATTTACAAATACTGAAACTTAGAGGAAAAGTTGTTTTTGTTTTTGTTTTTTAAAGTAGGCTCCACACCCAGCATGGAACCCAATGTGGGGCTTGAACCCATGACCCTGAGATCAAGACCTGAGCTGAGATCAAGAGTCAGATGCTCAACTAAGCCACCCAGGCACCCCTAGAGGAAAAATTCTTAATGTGTGAGAAGGTATATAGTTTTTTGTTGTTTTTCCAGTTCTTTGGAGGGGTATATGAGCAAAAAACCCTGATAGTGAAAGTTAGAATGTATCATTTGTCCTAACCTTCCTAAGATATTGCCTACTGGATATCCCCACCTGGATGCTCCCCAGATACTTGAACTCAGCATTCTCAAAGCAAATTTATTATCTCTTCCCCCTGCCCCACATAAACATTCACACACACACACACACACACACACAGAAAAACAAAACCTGCCTCCTCTTCCTATCTGTATTTTTGTTACTAGCTTCATGATCTACCTGGTCTCCCAGACTAAAAAGGTAGGAATTTTTTTTTTTTTTTTAATCTTCCACATCAAATCATAAACTCTCTAGTCCTTGTGCCATGGTCATTGTTTATGGCCTCCTCATGAGCTATCATCAAATAGCTCTTCAAAACAGTAACTATACTATTTTTTTTTTTTAGTAGACACACAATGTTTCAGGTGCACAACATAGTGATTTGACAAGTTTATACATTATGCTGGTCTCACCACAAGTGTAGCTACCATCTGCTCCCAAACATCCCTATTACAATATCAGTGACTACATTCCTTATGCTACACCTTTTATTCCTGTCAATTATTCATTCCATAACTGGAGAAGCCTGTATCTCCCACTCCCACTACCCATTTTGCCCAACCCCTCACTCCCCTCCCCACTGGCAACCACCAGTTTGTTCTCTGTGTTTAGAAGTCTGATTCTACTTTTTATTCTTTTTTTAAAAAAGATGCCACTTCTGAGTGAAATCATATGGAATGTATCTTTCTCTGACTTATTTCACTTAGCATTATACCCTCTAGGTCCATCCATGTTGTCTCAAATGGCATGAGCTGATCCTTTTTTATGGCTGAACAATATTCCATTGTGTGTATATGTGTGTGTGTAAACCACATCTTCCTTATCCATTTGTCTATCAATGGACACTTACATCTTGGTTATTGTAAATAACGCTGCAAGAAACATATACCTTTTCAAATTAGTGCTTTTGTTTTCTTTGGGTAAATACCAAGTAGTGGAATTACTGGATTGTACAGTATTTCTATTTTTAATTTTTTGAGGAACCTCCATACTTTTTTCCACAGTGGCTGCATAAATTGATATTCCCACCAACAGTGCACAAGAATTACTTTTTCTCCACATCCTCGCCAACCCTTATTTCTTGTCATTTTGATTTTAGCCATTCTGACACGTGTATGGTGATCTCTCATTGGTTCTGATTTGCATTTCCCTGATGATGAGTGACGCTGAGCATCTTTTCATGTGTCTGTTGGCCATCTATAGGTCTTCTTTGGAAAAATGTCTATTTAGGTCCTCTGCCCATTTCTTAATTCATTTAAGAATTGGATTGTTTTTTTTTGGTGTTGAGTTGTATAAGCTCTTTATATATCTTGGATATTAACCCCTTATCAGAGATATCATTTACAAATATCTTCTCCCATTCAGGAGACTGCCTTTTTGTTTTACTGATGGTTTCCTTCACTGTGTAAAAGCTTATTTTGATGTGGTCCGAAGAGTTTATTTTTGCTTTTGTTTCCCTTGCTTAAGGAGACATATCTAGAAAAATGTTGCTACAACTGATGTCGAAGAGATTACTGCCTGTGTTCTCTTCTAGGATTTTTATAGTTTCAGGTCTTATATTTAGCACTTTAATCCATTTTGAGTTTATTTTTGTGTATTGTGTTAAAAGGTAGTCCAGTTTTATTCTTTTACATATAATTGTCCAGTGTTCCCAGCACCATTTATTGAAGAGCCTGTCTTTTTCCCATATTCTTGCCTCCTTTGTCAAAGATTAGTTGACCATATAATCAAGAGTTTATTTCTGGGGTTTCTTTTCTGTTCCATTGATCTACGTCTGTTTTTGTGCCAGTACCATACCGTTTTGATTACTACAGCTTTGTAGTATAACTTGAAATCTGGAATTGCGATACCTCCAGCTTTGTTTTTCTAACAATAATTACACTTAAATTTACTTCTCAACATCTCCCATGGAGATGAAACTACTTTATAATTGTTGGAGGTATACAAAAATACCTGTAATGCATATAATTGAGTTACCCAAAGAAATTACAGAATCATGAAGTTGGAAGGAACCAGAAGAGTCAATCCCCTTGACCATATCCTTACCCAGGTATCTTTCAAGCTGTTGTCTCAATTTAAAATCTCATGAAGTAGCCTGCTCTTTCTCTGGACATCTCTGTCAGAGATCTGGGCCCAAATATAACTTGTTTCACTTTTTCTAGGATTATTGTGATTAAAAAGAAGATTCATGCTAAAAGAAGAACATTGGTAAAATTACACAAAATTCTAAACAAAGAGCTAAAAATTAGTTATAATTTAACATCCAGAGATGTCTTCAGTTAGCATTGGAGGATACCTCTGGCTTTATTTTTCCTTTTTTGTGAGTATGCATGGTGTATACATATGTATATATTTTGATTTAGTTTTAAACAAAATTGGGACAAACTGTAAATACTCAGTACTAAAATAAAGGAAGGCAATATATTTTTTTATTCAACTGCTAAATTACTTTTCAGCAAATTTACATATATCCTACTAGCATTGTGTAATCTTCATGTTATATACTTATTTTATCATTCTTTTAGTTTACATTTCTTTAATTATTAGTGTGATTAAACACAAGATCTCCCTATTTCCCTATTGTTTCTACCTATTCGTCCTATTCTACTCTCTGCAGTAATATCCTTTTCCCGTGTCGTAAAAGGAAGAAGAGAATGCATAGTCTTTAGGGTCAGGTCAGAATGAACCAGAGTTTAATCCACTTCTACTATCTAGTTGTGTTACCTTGGACAAGTGACATCTTTAAGCTTGTATCTTCTCCTGTATATTAGCGACTGCCCTCACAAAGTAGGAACAGAGTATAGCAATCAAGAACATGCAACCAATCAAAATCTAAATTAATCCTCCCCTCCTTTTTCTCATTCACGTGGTAATTCTTCACATACTGGAAGATAGCAATGCTCCATCACCTCTCACCAACCACTCCTCTACCTCCATCCCCAGCTTCTTGGCCCAAATCCTGAGGCTTCCCTTCTCCAAGCTAAATGTCTTCCAATTTCTTCACTCACATATCAAACAACGTGCTTTCAAATCACTTCATCATCTTGGTAACTATCTTCAGAGTATGATTTAACTTAGTCATATCCTCCTAGAAAGTGGCATCTGGAACAAACTCCAGATACGATTTGAAAAGACCAGAATAAAGGTTATCGTTTCAAATAATTACCTGAAATCATCAAATGTGTTTTCCTTATCCACATCTATGAGCCAACAAAAATCTATAATCCATAAACCTGAAAGACTAACTATATTCTACTCACCTTCACCGAGGCAGGCTAGGTTAAAAGTAAGGGTGTGGAACATGACAGGTGCTTCTCAAAGTTCTTGTGATGCCTTGGGCAAATAATGTATTGTCTCTAAGGTCAGTTTACTCCTTGTAAAAAAAAAAAAAAAGGTAAAAATGGGAGTAATAGCACTTATATAGAGTTTTTGTAAAGATTAAAAACATCAGTGACAGTATCTGGCATGTGAGGTACTCAAATGAAAACAATTATCACTGAAACTTTAAACACCATTTATCGAGTACTTTACATGGTCTTGAGCTCGAGTTTGGTCTATCCGAAACATGAATGACAGAGTAGGCTTTGCTGAAACTTAGTTAACCAATTAACAACTCATCTTCTTCCCCCAATTCTCCCTGCCCTGCTTTCAGCCTCTCCTCTCTCTCGCCATCATCTTCAGAAAACGAAGAGCCCTCCCTACCAGCAGGTGGAGGCATGGAGCAGTAATCCAAAATTCCTACTCAAAATTACAAGCAGGAGAAACTTCTGATTTCAACCACAAGATCACTGGCACAGGTCCATTAGGAAGGGAACCTGCCAGCAGTCAAAATGAAGCTCTGCAAGCTTCAAAGGCTCATCTACAAATGTAGTTTTTGTTCCTTTCCTCATATACTACTACCTCATATAGTAAAACTGAATGCAAAAACGTGAAAGTATCATTTATTTGTGAGTAACCTTTGAAAGACATATTTAACAACAATATAAAAATCAACAAAGTCTATGTTGTGTTTAGGCAAGAACAGGCTATTTAAATGTGGGAGAGAATAAACACTCACTTTTCTCTCAATTCAAATTAATCATAAGATCTGAGCAATCTGTAGAATAAAAAAGCTTTAAGTTGCTGCTAAATTAGAAGATTAAAAATTAATTGTTGAAGTTTTCTGGAATGGCCAAAGGGAATGTAAGAATGCCCAGATCTTAAAGATCTTTAATCAAGGTACTTCTAACAAAATTAGATTTTATATAAACACAAACACAGTCTTTGGTACAGAAAATTAAATTCCTTAAGATCTGCATGCAATGAGGGTTCTTTATCACCTGAATTTCCTCAGTGTCTTTAGTCCAACTAAATGGATATTAATAGTCCTAGGCAAAAATCTGAATTAAGCTAAGCTTTATCAACTTTCTCTTTCTTTAGCTCTTCTCTTCCCAAACTTGTCGCTATACCCATCACTAGAAAGACGTTAATTCTCTAAAATTACCTCTGGTTCTTCATGAAAAGAAAAGGAAAAAAAAAAAAAGGGAAGGAAGGAAGGAATGGCTGAAGCTTACACTAAAGTATTAGCAGAAATCTTATCAAATTGCCTCAAAGAGAATGGATGGTGCCTCTCTTTTCCACCCAAAGTGAGTTCCCTACTCTTCGTAACTCCCTGAAAAGGCTTAATATTTTACCTCTTGCAGGACATTTGTGTTTAAAAAAGAATTCTCGAATAGGTAGTATGTACAGCTGATGGAACTCTAAGCATAGCAACAAAGCAACAAAATCTGGGCATAGGTCTAAAACCTCTTCCAATCACGTCCCATAGACTAAATGTGTTCCTGATGAAAACTTATAAACTAGCAATTTGAACACCCTACTCCTCAATCAGAACAACACTCCAAATACACTATAAATTTACATTAATATTGTTTGAACATATATTTGAATTATAGCATAAATATATATTACTTCAGAAGTAAAAGCCAAAACATGATGTTATTAAATTAAATCAAAGTATGAAACATTTCTGAAAACAGAATAACGAAACCAAGATCCCAACAAAACAAGTGTTTTGGGAGCAGACAAGGAGGAAGGTCTCAGCAACTGAACCACTCCCAGGACATCCCACCGACTATTCACATTATTCCTTGTACTGGCTTCTGAATGTAGATTTGTGAAGAGGCAACTACTATGCTAACAGTAATTTGGAATAATGCACAATTACAAACTGACATTAGATATACAACAGTCCTTACAAATGAGCACAATATATGCAAATGAAATTTGACAAAAGAGGAAATGCAAATGCACAGGAACACTTCAGAAAGTGTATATTTTTGCTTAGTCTAAGTTGAAACAAACTCAGCATACCACAGTGCATCTACTAACATAAAACATTTCTATAAATGTTTGTAAAACATTTATAAAATAGCTTATTATTTATATATTATAGTAACATATGATTGGAGATGATTGATAATCATTTATCTTAGTACTGTAAAAGGATAGAGCACTCTAGAAAGCCAAAAAATGTTACCTCTTGACTCGACCTAGTGATACCATTCTAAAGACTTTATCAAACATGCAAGAAGGTGTTAAAGTTTTGTGCACAACATCAAGACCTGAAATAGTTCTCAATTCAACATTCAGATAATGTGGTACTCATAGATCAACATGACATCACTACTAATGATCATTAAGTATACATAAAACTATACTGTTCTCTGAGAGTATAGTAGCCACTAGCCATATGCAGCTATTTAAATAAAACTGAATTTACAATTCAGTTGCTCAGTCAGACTAGCCACATTTCAAGTGCTTACCTAGGTATATATGGATAGTGACTATTACACTGGATACTGCAGAGATGATTTCCATTATCACAAAAAGTTCTATTGGATAGTGCTGACCTACATAATTTCCCAGACCATCCTCTGTCCTCCTCCCCCTACATGCACCCATTTATCTAGAAACATCTACATCATCTTCAGGCTTTGGCTAAGCCTCAACTACTATGTGAGGATTCCCCTGATCTACCCAGGAAATTTGGGTATACCTTCCTGTAGTCTCATTATGCCTTGATAACTCCAATACAAAAATTATGTGACATATAATCATACCATTTTCCCCAACAAAATGCTGTAAGCTTCTTTAAGAATCAACTTTTATCCAAGGGATTTTGAACTGTTCTGGCACACAGAGGACCTTGATAATTTGTCATATACTAAGAACATTGCTAAAGACAACAGAGATGTACACTATGACTACAAGTAAAAAATATTTATGTATAAGGAACGTAATGCATCAAAGAAAAACTTGGTTAGGTTGGCAGGCTCCCAAGTGATTTTTTTTTTTCAATTACTAATTCTTTACATTTTCTTAGTACTCATCACAAGGAGTCTCATTCTCGGAAGGTGTTCAGTAAATATTTGTGGAATAGTTTCTGTATTAAAAAAAAGAAAAAGACACCAAGAATGAACCCTAATATAAACTATGGACTCAGGGTGGTAATGATGCAGCAATGTAGGTTCAGCAACTGTAACAAATGTACTACTCGGAGGGGCGGGGGGTGGGGGGGATGCTGATAATGGGGGAGGCTATGCATGTACCAGGCCAGAAAGCATATGGGAAATCTCTTTACCTTGCACTCAATTATGCTGTGAACTTGAAACTGCTCTAAAAAGATAATGTCTTCAAGAAAGAGACCCCAATATTTTGTTCAATAATAATATATACCATCGATTTATGATAAATTTAAAAAATTAGATCACAAATTTCTAACCCAAATATTTCTCTCCAGTGCACAGAAAATCTGACTAAAATAATCACAGGTGCAGTGCTTTGGCGTGTCATCAATACACAAACTCAACTTCCACATTACCAAGCACCGACCTATGTAAAGCACTATGGACACAGTAGTGAACAAGAAATTTCTTTTTTTTAAGATTTTTATTTATTTAATGGGGTGGGGGGGGAGAGTGAGAGGAAGAAGCAGACACCCTGCTGAGCAGAGAGCCCAATTCAGGACTTGAACCCAGGATCCTGAGATCATGACCTGAGTCAAAGGCAGATGCTTAAACGACTGAGCCACCCAGGCACCCCAAACAAGACAATTTCTGCCCTCACAATATTTTATCTAAATAAGATCTTTATTCTGCAAGATAAATCTTTAATCTCAGCTATCAACAACAGATATCCTAAAATGGCAAAAACAAGCTTCTCTTATTATTCTGATTTTTCAAATAATTCAAAGAACTCATATTAACCATTTGAGAAAGTAGTACATGACCTGGTTTAAAACAAAAGCTAATGCCTCATTTACTTGGCATTCTTGGGACAGTTGGTATTCCACAGAAATGAATTTTTCAGACAACTCACCCTTATCCATGTAAGCACCAACACTTAAATTGTTTCGCATGGAGATTTTTTTAAGTGGGATCTTCCAGTTTTTAAAAACAGATTCAATTAAGTACTATTTTGACTAATAATTATTGTATTGTACAACACTCAAGCTCCTAAACTGTATGTCCCCAGGGTTCCCTTTTAAAAGTTGCTGGCTTTGAACAGTTTTTCTTCTGATCTCCTGCTTTGGTGTGTCCGCTGTCAACTTTTGCAAGTATTAGTGAGAACCTAATTGTAGCAGCCTCCAACCCCTTCAAATTTGATGTTGCTTGCAACACAGATTTGTCAGAATTTTGCCTAAAACACACAGGCTTTGAGAGGATCATCAAATCTATATTTTGGTTGCTCAGTCTTCTGCTTATTTCCTGAACCTCTTTAAACCAAGTTCCGGATAAATGAGTTACAGCTATACCCTGATAAAAGTCCCTACGTTATTTTCATATTTAAAACTGATGCCCAGTCAGATATAACTTCATTACTTATTCACTCATCCAACAAGTATTAAGTACCTACTATGAGACAGTCTCTAACATTACGGTGAAACTGAAGAACTGAAAAGATTGCTAGTTTTGAACAAACTCTAAAATGGAAAGATTCAGAATAATAATTTAATAGCATCTAAAAAAAAAGAAAACCAGGTTTGGGATTTTTTTAGGTAGTAAATGAAACTACAAAATCACCTCAGTTTTTTTAAATTTCTGTAGCTTTAGACTTAGGAACTGAAAATTCAAGGGATTTAACCAAACATTTATTGTATAAAGCTCTGAATAAGATTCCCAAATTTTCTTTTCTCTTTTTTTTTCTATTACACATTCCCTTCTAGCCCTAGAGAAATCACTAGCAACATGTTTTAGTATTAAATGATAGTCCAAGTCTTGGTAATGATAAATACACCCATTTCAGCCCATGGTTAGTTTATCATCATTTTAATGTTGCGCAACAATGATTAGAAAAAATGTTATAATTCAAGAAACTTTCTGTCCAAATTTCCATAAGTTTCTATATACTTCACTTTGGGGTATAGATTTTTTTTTTTTTTAAGTTTTAGGAGTTAGCAAAATTTGGTGTGACTCTACATTATTTGCTTTATCTGCCACAATCATATTTTTAAAATTCCATTACCCATTTAAACCTAAGGCTAGGAAATGAGTCAAGAAGGAGTAGGGCTTAAAATTGGTCTCTGAGGATTAATTAAGACAACAGGTAAAACCCTGGTATCAGCCTTGTTTTAATGCTCTTGGAATCTCCTTTCTCATTCATTTTCTCAGGGAGCACAAGTAACTTTATTTGTATTTTATAATTTTATAAAAGACTACTGATCATCCTTATTATTTATACTGAACTGGAAATGGGTATTAGTTATGTGCCTGTGATCTGAGAAAGTAAAATAATATTGTGAAGTGAAAAAAGTTACTACAGTTAAAAACCTTTAATTACTACCATTAAAAACCTTTTCCAGCAATGCATTAACATTTCTTCAACATTAATTCTGGAACCTGAAAATGCTTTAAGCTTAAGTACTATAAAGCTAGAGCATGGACCTAACTTTCAAAATAACAACGTAGTATTATTTAAGCTATTATAGTAAACCATAAAAGTTGGCTCTGACCTCACTAGCACACCATCTTGTCCTGTGAAATAAGCCTGATTTTAAATAAAAACAATTCACAGAGAAATCCAGATGGTCTCTTGCTATCTCTACCATTTAGGCAAAGAAGCAAATGACAAATATTTACTGGACACACCTATCATAAGCAAAATCTCTACCAGGTGCTATCCACACTACCGGTTTAAAAATATATATGCACACAGACCCAGCTCAAGATATTTACAATATAATTGGACAGAGAAAATATGCTTCATAAAAGATACTAATACTAACCAATAGGAAAAAGAAATATATTTGAATTAAAAATTGATCATGAACATGTAACACTCTGGCAGCAGAAATGGAGGGCGCTTGGTTCAGATATAAGCAAAATTGTTTTTGCCTATTTTAAACCTGGCAATCAAAATCACCCAGAACTAAGGAATTGGGCCAACAGCATCACCATAGAAAAAAACCGAAATTCTCAGGAGCAACTGGTATTGGACCATTCAAAACAAAGTCTTCCTGTGAGTGCGCATTAGTAGTTTCTCTCCTAAAATCTCCTTATCAAATTAAAAACAAAACTGATTCCTGGTTATCAACTCTGCAAAAACCGAAGCTCTTCGGGGAAGCACTCCCGATTCTTGTTTCTTTTATAGCACTTAAGGTCCATCCACAGAACTAAAAGGGGCTGGGGAACAGCGACGAGGAACTGGCCTATTGTTCGAAGAACCGCAGGACCATCCGAACACCACGGGGCGCGCGGGAGCAGGGGGGAGGCAAGGCGCAAACGCGGCACAGGTGTGTGCACGGGAGAAGGGGGACAGGTGTGCCCGAGGCCACAACTAAGGTTAGAGAGCCCGACTTCAAGATCCAGACTTCGAGAAAGGGAGGCAGTCCTTCTCGAAGCTTAAACCGCTGAGCACGGAGGGGGGCGGGCCTGGAGAAGGTCTGAAGGGCTCCCAAAGCCCACCCGGGTTGGGCGGCGGGGGGAGGGGGGAATCAGAGAAGGCCGGGGGTCTGGGTGTGCAAAGCTCGAGGATAAAAGAAAAGGCTCTCGAGTCGAGGGGCCAGCCTATAAATCCCCGAACAATGGACAATGCTGGGTCTGAGGTAAACGGCTAGGAGACTGGGGGTGTCGCGAAGGTGAACCCGGGTGGGAAGAGGGAAACAAAAGAGAGAAGCCCCCAAGTGTGGGTCCCCGGCGGCGGCGGCGGCGGCAATTACCTGTGAGAGTTGCCGGGGATTGGGGCAGCCGAAGAGCGCGGAGCTGGAGCTGAAGCTGATGGCTCCTCGGCGGCTGAGGACGTGCTGGGGGACCGGCCTGTCCAGGGGCAGCACCGGCAGCTGGTAACATACTTCCATTGAATACGCCCGCCCTGCCCCCGCCCGGCGCCCGCCCAGCCGCGGCTGCCGGCCCCTGCGCTGGGCTGCGAGGAAACCC